TGATAGATATAATAACATTGTTAAGATCTAAGAACTTGTTTGCCATAGATGCACAAAAAAAATTATGTTGTTCTTTTTGATAATAAATTTCATCTTTGTACATGCCTGGGTCTTGTCTGATGTGGTATCGTTTGCTGTCACTTTTTTCACCTATTAGAAAATTCAATATATGCAAAATTTTATATAATGTTAATATCTAAACAATGGTATAATAATGAAAAACAATGTGAACCTACCTCAATTCTTTGTTAACAACCTTTTACTGATGGCTTTCAGAAACCTTCTGTTAAACTTTACAAACTGAAACCTTTCTAGAAATGCCTTATAAAATAGTTAATATTCCTTATGAACATGTTTATAATTTCTTAAATTAACGAAAAGAATATGCAACAGCTAATGAACTTTCGAAAAAAGTGATTCAATTGGGATTGGATGTAGGACTGTCGGCAATACAAGAGTTAAATAATTTTATGAAAAACTTTATAACAAAACATACATCAAATCAGAAATCACCCTGAAGAAACCCTAGAACTTTGTTAGCTAAATCTTACAATATACTAGGCAGCTCTAATAAATCTGATGGCTTTGATAGTTCTGACTCAAATTATGATAACGATGAATTAGATTTTCAAGATATTGAGAATATAAATCTATATTTAATTCAGAATCCTATCGTTCATGCAAGAAAAGGTGCTTTATGCAAAACAAGATTTAAGAGATCACATGAGGTAAAACAGAAAAATGCAGAATGTCAGAAAACTAAAAGGCAAAATCTACAGAATGTCAGCAGTGTCATAAAGTTGGACATAATAAAGCCGGATATGAAAAATGGCATCAAAAAAATCAAATTCCATATTCTTTTTAGGTATAGAATATTGTGTTATTGAGATATATAATATATATGCGTATAAATTGATATTTATTGCTTTTAATGTCTACTAATTACTTTGAATTATTATATATTTGCGAATAAGTACTTATTTGAAGTTATATGAAGTTTTTGCCTTGAAAATAATCTTATAGGACATAGTATTTACTATGTTCTATAAGGTTATTTTCAAGACAAAAACTTCATATGCTATTATTAGTAAGATTGTAGTTAATATTAATTAAAGTTAGTAGATTAGAATTAGTAAATTAGCAATTAAAGTTACTCTAAATAGTTTATATTAGAATTAGAAAGTTGGTGGTTAGAATATTAGATTTAGAAATTTGTTGTTAGCAAGTTATAATTAGCAAGTTATAAAGTAGATTAGTGGATAATTGTATTAGATTAGCAATATTGTAGTTAGCGGATTATAATTAGTAAGTTATTAAGTAGCTAGTTTAGTGGTTGATTATTAGATTAAAGTTAGAGTATATTGTAGTTAGATGGTTAGAGTTAGAAAGTATTGTTAGTTTGTTAGTTAGTGGGTTGTTAGTTAGTGGGTTAGAGTAAGATTTATAGTTAGAAAGTATATATTAGTTAGTAGTTAGCAGGTTAGGGTTTTAAAGTTAAAAAGTATATATTAGTTAGTTAGTAGTTAGCGGATTAGGGTTTAGAGTTAGAAAGTATATATTTGTTAGTTAGTTAGTTAGAGTTATGGTTTCGAGTTAGAAAGTATTTGTTAGTAGTAGTTAGTTGGCAGATTTAGGGTTAGAATTTCGAGTTGGAAAGTATTTGTTAGTAGTAGTTAGTTGGCAGATTTAGGGTTAGGGTTTCGAGTTAAAAAGTATTTGTTAGTAGTAGTTAGTTAGCAGATTTAGAGTTAGGGTTAGAAAATATTAGATAGTAAATTGTAAGTAATATAGTATTAACAACAAGTGATTGAAACTTGTTTGCTATTGGGGTGTGACAAATTATATATATAACGAATATATACTATTTATATAATTTAATTAGTTAATAATTCGTTGTCATATCTATAATTGGTCACACCCCAGTGCCAATTATCTATAATAACTTATAATATATATTATTTATATAATTATATAATATAATTATATAATATATATATATATATTATATAGTATAGGCTACATGTAGCCACGGCTATATATAAATTTTTCTATATATATATATATACAATTTTTTAGTTATATAATTTTTTAATTAAATGTATATATACAAAAGTTTTTAATTAATATATAAGCTGTCCACAATATTATTAAAATATATACAAAAGTTTTTAATCAATATATTAGCTGCTACAATATTATTAAAATATATACAAAATTTTTTCTATATATATATATAGAAAATTATTACAAATCACTACTGGTAATCATTACTAGTGATTTATGATTATAATTAGATGTAACATATAAACTTTTTAAACAAAAGTTTATCTGTTTTGATATTAGAATAAGAGTAAGAGACATAACAAAAATCAGATGATTTTTTAGGGGGGAGGGGAGGTAAAAATTTTAAAATATATATAAGGACCTGATCAAATTATATATTAAGAAGAGGAGGGGATAAGCTTCTGATAAAAAAAAATCAGGTGATAAATGATACTGCTCTAAGGGTTTAATAATAAAGCTAAATAAAAACTATAGTAAAATTTTGCAAGAAATTTTTTTTGTTAGAGTCTGAAAGGTGGTTTTATAAGCAAAATTTTATGGTATGATTGATTTGTTAAAAATTTCTTTGTTTTGTTACATGAAATTGATCTGCACATTTGTCGTGTACAAATTCCACTTTACCGATTTTGGGTCTGATCTCACTAAGAGATTATTCGCTTTGCTTGAGTCTCACTTGACTGGTATATCATACCAGATCTTCCACCTTTGTCAAATACATACACGATTGTTTGGTCACTTGTTCACTTAGAACCGTTTCTTGCTTATACTAACTAATAATTCTCTCTTTCGCTTTATTAGATGAAGTCATTTTTATAATACAAGATTATTATTAGATAAATAATTATCCAGTTACATGCGTTATCCTATTACTAAATTGATTTCATGCATTCACTGATTCAACGATCACGCTATTCATGCAACAGATTATATTACACAAACCTGATCCTATTCTCGGCACTACGAATTCCAAGAGTACCGAATAACCCATGTCATGAGCTAGACCCCCAGAACTTCGTCCCAAAGTTACATCCCATGCAAAACCAATTTACCTACACAAATTATCCAATTTGCAAAATAACTACACATATACTAAGCTAATATTACCTCTATTTCAACACTTACACTAATATGCATCACTAACACCAAACCTTTATATGATCCAACATACATTGCTACTAATTCAAACAAACCATATTATTTTTACACCAGAGCTAACAACGACGGTTTGTATTATGTAGCTCTATAGGGTTTTCTCACGATCTTTCAACTTTATCATATTTTTCAACGTCTATATCGAAACCTTTATTCTACATTAATAACACCGTCCAACACTAACATTCCATCATACTCAGCATTGAAAACCGTCATTTTGGAATTTACGTCCCTATACTTCCCAGCAACATCATCACAAGGGATTTCCTTGGTAGGTTTGATCAACGCAGGCAGGCGGCCAATTTCTTTGCACTTTAATTGAGTAGTATTATTACCTTTGTTTTGGCTAACCAATGACTTTTCATAACCATCCATTTTGCATATACTTATTATACCATTTTCATGGTTCACACTATCGCTGTCAGGCCCAGCTTCTACCAATGTCTCTAGCAATCCTTTCATCATCGCATCCATCTTCACAACCACATCCAACGGTGCTTGTATTATTACCATCGCTCCATCTTGGATATAATGTCTAGCAACAGGCAATTCATCAGTATCATCTATATCAGTGGGTTTTTGATAATTAATGAACGTTTTATGTTCATTCTTTTCAACACCAATCCCCTTTTCATAACAATGTCCAACGGCATATGTTCCACTAACATGATCCATTTCATTGGATCTTTGATAATAATTGAACGCATTACGTTCATCCCTTTTTGCATCAATCTCGTTGTGATAACAATGTTCAACGATACTTGCTTCATCAGCATCATTCATATCAGCAGGTTTTTGACAACTGACGAGTGCTTTACATTCATTGCTTTCAACTACAATTCTATTTTCATAGCGATATCCAAGATTACCCATTCCATTACTATTATCATTGAACGCTACACCATTGTTCACATCTTTATTTACAGGTTTCGTCGGCTCTTTTTCATTATCGTATGCACTATGACTTATTGTAGGCATGTTTTTATCAATTTCGGGTAACACACCAGGTAGGTCTTCGATTTTTGTTTCATCTTTTCGATCCCATCCATCAAAATCCATGTGTCTAATATTCACATCGCTTTCAATGACTTCTAGATTTACCATTTGGTCGTCAGGTATGTGTTTTTCAGGTCTTTTCTTATCAATGTCCATTTTATTCGTCATATTAACGACCCTACTCTTTTTCTTCACATAATTAACGCCATTTCCACCATTCTTCCTCAATTTTCCTCTAACACGCTTCACGTTTGCAGCATCATTGTCCTTAACCTTCTTCTTTATCCGTTCAGGAACACCTTTACATCGGTTTCGACGTCCATAGGGCTTCTCTTCAATTTCTATACGATGTACTTCCATACATTTAATATTCAAGTGTCGATTACAAGCTTGATCTTTCGAAGGACACCAACGAGCCATATGCCCTTTGCGTCAACATACATAACACAGATGCAACATACATCTTTTCCGTTTCTCCTGAACTGTTTTCAAGCTTTTCATTACTTCTTGAACCACCAGCTTCACCACCGTAGCCAAGTAGTTCAGCCTCTTCATTCTCTTTGGTTTAACCACTCAGGTAGACTTTTTCTTCTTTCCAACTCATAACGTCAATCTCGCCATCAAGGCTTTGATCACCAAATTCGACAACTTGATACACCTAACCGCTTTGGCTTCATGACTCTTCTGACTTTGGTTTCACGTCCCTACCAACTTTGGTCTCACAGCTTTACCAACTTTGGTTTCACGGCTTTATCAATCTTTGGTCTCAAAGCTTTACCAATCTTTGACCTCAACCCTTTACCACCTTCGACACTTTTGTATATTTACACCCGCTT